GTATGCGACTATTTGTGTCGTGTCGTTATGGAGGAGGAGGCACTTTGAATGTCAAACAAAAAAAATATACCTGCGTCTTGTACGTTTCGAGACTTTATGATATGGTACTCTTTAAAAAGGACGCTTATTTTATGGACTTTACCAACCTGTACAGTATAAGTTAACATTTAATGCACCAAGTGACAGGCAGCAAGCCGTAAAATTTTGGTAAATTTACATTAAAATTTAAATTACCTGAAAAGCGCAGCAGATATTTTGTAAAACTAAAAGTAAGCTGCGAGTGAATGTCAGAATCTTACTGACTAAAATCCACACCGTTCCTTTCTACCATACCTACCACCATGGTGGGTGCCGTCGCTTTTAGGCCCCATCTGTAGTGGTACCATATATTTTTGAGGCACGCTTAAAACGTGACTCAAGCGCGTCTCAAAGAGCCACCTTGCGCTGCTCTTGCTCGCACCGTAACGCGATCTCCAACGCCCCGAGTGCTTTCTGCGGCGGTTGGAGCATAAGGTAATTCTTGTTCGTGCTCTGCCGCTTTCTATGCGATCGTGACTGCTTCGCAGAAGGAGAAAATAACTCACCAATTCCTAATGCTTTGCACCATGGCCTGGTCTAATGCCCAGCGCAATAGGTCACCTCCGCCAAATGCTGCCCTGAGAATACGGCGGTATGCAGCGAAGCTTCACCTAACATAATATTCTTTGTCCAGCATCGCATTTATTCCAGATTGTGATGACAACAAACCTAAAAAAATAACCTCGAACAAACCCATAACATCACCTTGCACATGTCGTAATATCGAAGACAAAGCAAAACATAATTGCAATACTAGATTGATGTGCAGATCTTGACATATTAGCCTAGCTTAGTGACCTGGCAGCCTACTTGGTAACTGCGTTACTTGACTATAGTCTTCAGCGTCTAACGACTTGTACAAGACAATGAATAATTACCACAAATTATAACATTTGCAGAACGCAATCACGCGGACGATTAGACTCATTTCACAATCATCTGCGAGGTTTAGGAAATAATTAGTGCGTTTAATATGTCATAATAATATGTACATCAGTCTCTGACGCATTTTTTTCTCGTATGAGTTGTGTTGGGCCATGTTGATGGTTGCATCGCGTGGAAAGCAATATTTTTAGCAACAAAAAATTGGGGTATCTTTTTGAGTTGAATAAAAATGGTGTCAGACTTCGAATGACAGAGGTCTTAATGCTACGGAAGTTTTTGATAAAATGCCGTTTGCAAATATGTTACAAAGTATCTCTTCAATATGTCAATATTTAAGGTGAAATTATTTATTTCAAATGGACCAGTATGAGCACCTTTGAACGTCAAACAGTAAAAGAATAAAAAGTTCTGCTTTGTGGTCTGTCAGCCTGTCTTCTAGTGCATTGAAATTCAATCATTTACCTAAATTGACTTCGGACTGACATTTTTAAATCAAGTTCCGTACCTTATCATTTATACATTTTGTCAATATTATTGTTTACAATATTTATTGAGTGTTTGTTCCCAAAAATCTTCCATGTTTATTATTATAACTTATGACAACACATATTAAGGAAAACAATTATAAAGTTAATTGTGTAAATAATTATCAACACCCATGTTTTTATTACTGAGATAATTGTTATCAAAACAGTTGTTCTTAGAAGTACCTAATATTATTGTTGATGTTGTCGTTTTTAAAAGATTACTAACAACTACCGCTACGTATACTTATTACCGTTAAAGATTGCAAATTACACTTCTGGCGCCGTAAGGCAAGTCTTCGATGTAAACAGGGTTATTATGCGGTAGGCTCTGCTATTCGTGAATCGTTTGGAATAGACTTTATTAATAAAAATTCTCGTAAGACAATCGTTTAAGTTTTTTTAGTTTCTTGTTTTACTCTAACAATATTCAGTGCAGTGGTTCTATTCAGTGGTTCTAGTTTTATCAGCCAATCAATAAGAATTGTTAATTTGAGAAATACCTCAAACACCGTAACTTACCCAAGGCTCTGGCTGTTGTCCTTAAAATCCATATCCATAAAAGTACCTGATATTTATAATGACCCGAAGACTCACTCACACTTTTAACTAACTTTTTGGCTCAAAAGCCAACGGCATCAGGTAATCCGTATGCTCGTTAGCCGACCTATTACATAAAAAAAAATCAATGTACCGGGGCATGAGCCTGGAGCAGGAGAAGGAACGGAGTCGTTTTAGTCAGTAACAGTCTGACACTGCCTCTTGCCCACCACCTAGGCCGCAAGAAGGGATTTAATGTTTTTTCCACTCACAATAATAATACATATTGCATCAAGTTAAAAGTAATAAGGACGATGAAGTCGTTAATCCCACAGCCACTGACTTCCATTATTAAACTCCAAGGATAAAACGTCTTAATTGTTTACCGCACAAAGTTCAATTTTTTGTAACAATCGTCGACAAATTACCAAAAAAAAAATCTATCTATCAGACGCTTCCCCCTAGTCATAACATTCTATTATTTCCGTGTGTGGAATTTGTTTGTATGCATGCACGTATGAGTCATCTCCAAAACGATTTAGGCACGGTTGAACTTCAAATACCTTTATTGTTATGTCAGCTCATGTAATTACTTGCCAATCAAATATTGTGAGCAAGAGTATGAAGAGGCTTAGCTGTGTAAATCTTTAAATTAGTACTACAGCACACGATTCAAATTAGCATACATTAAGTTTGTCTTATGGTTGTTTATGTTTTGTGGTTTTTTAGGTCGGTAAACGAGCATACGGATTACCTGATGGTCAGCAATTAGCGCCGCCCATGGATACCCGCTACAACAGAGGAGTTAAGTGTGCGTTGCCGACCTTTTTACATTTGATTTAGATTTAGGGATTTGCTGATTGGGTGAGGGGAAGGATTGGGCCTCCGGTAATCTCACTCATACGTCGAAACCGCCAAAACACAACACTGTGGTTGTTTCACGCCGGTTTTCTGTGAAGTAGTGGTATAACTTCGGTTGAACCGACCACTTCGTGCCGAAGCATGGCTCTCCCACACTAGAAAGTAGTAGGAGCGTTTTTGTCTAATAAAACTGTCTTATTAAGTCTACGTTCTCGAAGGACTTCAAATAAATAGGTAGTATTTTAAATATGAGTTTAATTAAAGGTTTCACTGATATCCAGAATTTTATCATGTTGTCCCCATTTGTTTTCTTTTATCTTAAAAGGTTGCATTATTTTAATCAGTATGTGCTTTTTGTTCACTTGTTTTAATGTTCTCCTCTTCTCTGCAATCAAATTGATGTAATGATCAGTGTTATCAACCATTTGTTTAATTAAACCATCAGCTGTATTATGGCTCGCAATAATCTTGTTAAGCTGTTAGCGCCTCTTTACTGATACAACTCATTAATATCATAATACTTTAGCTTCTACTCGATACACTTCCTCACTAAACAAAATGCATAGAAAAAATATCGTACATTTATAATAATTAAGCTAAATGGCTTATGGCCATGGTCTAGAGGTTTCGATCAACGGTAGCAGTTAGCACAAAGCGTTCGACGCATTGTACAAACTTCCTGATGTATTCTGTCGGAAGCCTGCATTTGAAGCGTATACTAAATTGAGATATTATTATAATTGTCGCTTCCTCAGTTCTTTGAGGTGTTAATTGTACTAATCAAAACATGTTTTGTTGATAAACCTGTGATGATTATAGTCGAAAATATTGTGGTTTACAATAAAAACTAATCGCTTCTACGATCTTCTTTCAACAGCAATCGTTTAATCTGTTTAATCTTTGCGATTAACATTCTTTTGCATTAGAAGAAGCTTAGTGTGTGTTATATTATTGAATACACATATAAATGTTAATATTTTTGTTACTCTGTTTATGGTACGTTTAATTGGTATTGCTAAAGGCGGTTAGCGCTTTTGTAGAGCCACTAATTGCCATGTAGCTTTAGAACCTTTAACAGGATTACAGAATGTAGAGACTTATATTCATGGTTGTATTTGACAAGAAATTATTAATTAATTATTAATTGTTAAATAGTTTTGAAGTACATGAAGGTAGAATCACTGCACTGCAAGAACTGTTAATCAGTCTTAGTCGCATAATTTTCTTGGCCAGGTGCGGCCGCTATGGTGGACATACTGCGGCCCAGCTTAGAACACAAATGGGTGGGTTGTAAGTCTACGGTCCTTTTCGTCCAAAGAAGGGCTGCAGAACTCATTGATGATAAAAATATTGTAATTTTATTTCGCTTTTGTGAAACTCTGCCTAATTGTAAAGGGGTTTTTAGGAATCAATACGTATGAAGTATGTATGTAATCAATAATGTAATGTAAAATGAATAATATCCTATGGTATAGATATAAGCGATATCGATATTAATTGTAAACTGTCAAATGAGTCATTATTATTTTTGCCTTGGTACCGCTGTTTGCTTACCATCAGGTGATCTGTCTGCTCGTTTGAGTCCTAGAAAAATCCATCCTAAGTCCTATAATAATTGTATATATTTTGCACGAAAGACTGATGTTTCTGTATATGAGCAATATAATAAATGAACTCAAAGTACGTACAGACATATGTACCTATCACATAAGGATGTCCAAAGAGGTACCTAATTGATATAATATGTTACATAAGTATTAAGTCGCTGCTTATATTTGCTGAAAATATTTGGTCCCAATATTTGCAGAGCGAATTCTTGTCAATTTGCATCTCGATCTTCATAATAAATGTTTGAAGGATTTGGAATAACTTTGTTTGTAATAATTTTTAGTACATTTTCGCAAATTGGTGACGTATAACGATTGTGATGAAGGTTTGGAGCTTTATTTATTTTCATTATGGTTGCTATTAGCTTATTGATAGGTACTCGTGTCTTTTTAAAGTCACGCGAAGAAGAATCAAGAAAGATTCTTCGGTACTACGCGTCCAAATCATGTAAAGGAAACTGTACCTAATTTTTCTTTCTTAAAGTTTCCATTTCTTTGTCTCCAGGTGTACCACATGTGCGACGGGCTGGGTCGCCAGTTCAGCTACAAGTGCCCCAATATGACGCTGTTCCAGCAACGCATGTTGATCTGTGACCATTGGTATATGGTCAACTGTTCCATGTCCGAGAGAGACTATACTGCCAACCTGCTTATAGGTAAGAATATCTTTATTACTAGTTGTATGCTTGGATTTTTCCTCCCTCTTTTTTTGTAGTGCGCAAACTTCACTGGAGCGATTTAGGATTTATTTATTATTTTTTATTATTTATTTATTATTTTCATAAAATCATTTATGTTTGTCGCCACAATCATCAACATCACTATCATAAAGTATGTAAGTTGCGCCCACTGCAGAGTTTTTATGTAATCAATTCCATCAGTCGGTTGGAAGCTATCTGCTACAGCTTTCTTGGTAACTGACTTTTAGTATTTTCTAACTGTTTATCGAGTTTTCTCAAGTGGGTTGTTGAATGACTACTAACGGATACGTTGAGTTTCCTATTCTGAGTTGAATAAATGAAAATGTTCATTTGTGGTCATTAAACACTGAGAATCGTTGGAATATTTTAAAAAATGTCTACACACGTGTAGGTTCTGTTTTTATTAAATATATTTTAAAATATGTTGTACCTACTTAATTAGCGATGTAGGTATTAAGAGCAAATATTTATAGAGCCATAAAATAGTTCCATTTTCATTTCCAAACGTCGTCATAATATCCAAACACTAAACTTTGCAAATAAGACTTTATTACAAAGACAATATAATTGCTAATGTAATAAAGAAATGCAGATATGGGTACCTTAATGTGCTGGTATCTGTACTATATCACAGATGAGATGATCAGATATTGCATAATAAGTACTTCGAACCGTCTCTAGCAGGCCAAGGAGATGCCACTCTGAATTGCCTTACAAACCTTGATTTGAGAAGCTGTGGGATGCGATAATGTGGGCTGGTTGATGACATATCGCGATGGTAGATACCATATAACTTATGAAATGAAGCTTGCTATTTTCCCTGAGGATGTTTATTTGCACATTGCACAAGATTGTGGTATTTTTCATTTTGACTGCACGGTTGGTGCGGTGACTGGGCAACTGGCTGCCGTGCAACGCGTCGCGGGTTCGATTACCGCACGGAACAACTCTTTGTGTAATCCATAAATTGTTGTTCCGGGTCTAGGTGTCATTGAGTGTTAAATTGTATGTTTGTAAACGCACCCACGACACGACACAGGAGAAAATCCTACACTGGGGCAACGGCCAATGTTTTCTCTAAAAAAAATTATTCAAAAAACAATATTCAGTTTGTAACAGGCAGTGTTTTCTCTAAAAAAAATTATTCAAAAAGTTTGTAACATTTTTTAGAATAAATAAACCCAAAAATTCCGTTAAATACTCGTTTAAAATAATATACCAAAAACTAGTGTATGTGTTTTGACAGGTGTTTGGACCTGAGGCTACAGAGCTGCCATCTCATGGGGAATATTTCAGAAACCTCTTATTCTACTTGTTTAAATATTAGTCACACTATAAATGCGAACGTGCCAGTAGCCACCATAAAAGTCTTACAATATAATTTTAGAGATCCTTCGCAGCTTTGGTCCTGACCTCATTTATAACTATTGTTATCATAATCAAATAGTAAAAACCATCGCTCGCAGCCCACGTTCTGTCAATCATACAAATTACATTCGATCTATAATTTAAAAATAAATCGGCATGTTGCCAAGTGCATAACTGGTGAACAGCTGAACCGATTTATACAGGAGTATCTAACTGGTCATATTTAATATTTTAGTTTGTGTGACTGAGTCATAACTTTTTGGCAATAAATAGCGTATTCTATACATGGACATATTCACATCACCAGCCTGTAAATGTCTACTGCTGAGCAAAGTTAAGTGTGAGAGAACCATGCTTCGACACGAAAGGGTCGGCCCGAGTGGAGTGATATCACGTCCTCACAGAAAACAGCGTTGCGTTTCACCGTGTGAGTGAGGTTACTGGAGGCCCAATCCTTTCCCTCCCCCAATCCCTTAATCTCCAAATCCCTAAAAGGTCAGCAACGCACTCGTAACTGCTCTGTTGTGCGGGTGTCCATGGGCGGCGTTGATAGCTCACATTCAGGAAATACGTTCCTGATCGTTTGCCAACTTTTCACACGGAGTATGTTTGATAATGTAGGTTTCAGTCTCAATATTTATTTTGTGTCGTGGGTGTCTTAACAAAATATACAACATCACATAGTTACATATAACCCCCACTCCCGGAACTGGTATTTATCACTCAAAAAAGTTTATATCGATAGTTTGCCTTAATCCTTTTAAAATTAATTATTTATTCATCACAGACTAAATAAGCTCGTTGTTTCACATAGGTAAATGTTCTAAATTCCATACTAAACTTGTAATGCATTTGAATAGATAATATGCAAGTCAATTATAACTTTACTGCTAGTACTAGTTTAATTATAGACTTCGAAGGCCATTTCGAAAAGATAAATTGCTCGTGAATATGAATGCTTAGCAAAATAATTGAGGAATTAGTAATTTACACCTGTGCTATGGGATATGGCTACCGGTCGCCTACCATCTGTCTTCCCCGAAGGCTATAATAAACCTAGGTGTCTTCAAGGACCGAGGGATTAGGTTGCTTATGAGGACTGCCCCATCGTAAGTCACATCATCGCTAAACAACAGGCGTGATAGCGGCTACATGCCTGCACTAAATAAAAAAAGCTTCCCGTACGGCATCCCTCTTTGTATTATCTACTAATTGTTTTTCCGGGTCTGGGTATGATGTGTATGTAATTAAACTTAAAACAATAAAGTGTGCCAACGTGTTTCGTAAAATAAAAAAGTATTGACATTAAGTGTATCTTTCTGTTTTCGCGTTTATTGTTAAAGTGATCTTCATTTATTATTTTTTATTAATCTCTGGCACAATGAAAGTCCAAATCATTTTTACCAACTAATCCATTAATGGGTAGGTATTTTTGAAACGTTAGAATAAAGTCTGTTCGTCAGTGAAGCTAGGTAATCGTTCCAAATTGTAGATTCGAATGGAGAAGAAGGAGCAAAAAACTCCATCACTCTAAAAAAATATGTTGTACACATATGTATATTTTTAAATTGAACTAGGTACCTAAATGATTTTACTGTGAGCTTACTAACTTGCATTAGATAAAAACTTATCAACCCACGAAAAGTCAAAAAGTCAAGTCAAAAATCATTTATTCCAATTAGACTCATAAACAGACAGGCACTTTTGAAAGTCAAACAAATTTTTAAAGTCTGTCTGTCGGTCAGTCCTCTTAGTGAAGCTATTTGCTCGTTCCAAAGTGTAGATTCCGATGGAGAAGAACGAGCAATAAACTCCATGGTACACCTGATAGGATTCGTGGTAAATATTGTTTAAAACTAAGCTCACGGTAATGGTACTTGCAGTAATGATATAAAATTAATGTCATTTACAAAATTATGGGTTTAAGGAAGAGCTGATGTTCACATAATTATATTTTTATTATTATTTATTATCTTTAATGTGTTCACAGTATGATTGATATGAAATTAATAACCAACTGCCTACTTAATGTTGTTTTTATTAAGAATTAAAGTGTGTTGCATTTTGGTACACATTTACAATATTTACTTAGGTAGGAACGAATGCTTTGGGAACACAAGTAAATTGTGTCGCGTTCGAATAAGTTTTGATCACAAATTCGGTTTGCTTGAGTATTTATAAGTAACAAGGGCTTAGTATAACAAGATTCTAGATAAAACTTATATATTCCTCACAGAAAACCGGCGTGAAACAACCACAGCGTTGTGTTTCGCCATGTGAGTGAGGTTACCGGAAGCCCAATCCTTCCCCACCCCAATCCCTCCTCCAAATCCCTAAATCTCCAAATCCCTAATCCCGAAAAGGTCGGCAACGCACTCGTAACTCCTCCGTTGCGGGTGTCCATGGGCGGCGCTGATTGCTTACCATCAGGTAATTCGTCTGCTCGTTTGCCGATCTATTACATAAAAAAAAAATATTGATTGTAATAATTATATTTATGATTCTGATTGTCGCTTCTGTCACGCGCTATAAAACTGAAAGATATTCATGTTTAATGATTTGATCACCCTCTGTGGAGCAAGAGGGAGTGTCAAACTTTTACTGACTAAAAACCTCCCCATTCCTTCTCTTTTGGTTGCCACCACAACACCAGCTGAAATATTGTTACTATTTTAGGATTTCGCTGGCAAAGATTTTGTATAGTACATAATTGTAGTTATCTGCCGACCTCTTCAGGAAGGCCATAAGCTTTTTTTTGTGAGGGGAAATCATGAAATGACTTCTCCCGCCCAGCGCCGGGCGGGAGGAAGTGTCAGACTCTTACTGACTAAAAACCCCTCTGTTCCTTCTCCTGCTCTGGGCCGAGGTCGTGGTGCCTCATTGCACTTACCGCGCAACCCCGGCTGAACATCAGCCCTATAGGGCCCTGGCCCCTGGGTCTGTGGTGGTCTATTGGCTTTTTGAGGCGCGTGCGGAACGCTACGCGCAGTACGCTCTGGTCTGGTTCTGGTCGGGCGGCGAACTACCCTTACTCGCCGTCAGGCCATAAGCTTGATATTTAATTATGCTACAAATAAATCAAGCAAAGTTGACCTAGCAATAATTGCAAGCTATAATTTGCGATTAACTTTATAACGACTAGGCAATCCACATAACTACTGCACTTTAGATTTAGGGGTCAGAGAATTAAATCATATTTATGTATCATATCATATTATTATGACGTAGTGCCTGGAGGTTAAGGCGCCCGCTTCTCAAGCATCAGAGTGCGAGTTCAAAACTTGGCAAGTACAGATGATTTTTACCGAGCTTTATGTTCTTTCTAAGATTAGGTACCTATTAAGATAATATTGCTATACGGAGGAGGAATAAACCGTGAGGAAACTTTGACTTATATTTCTAATTAGCTTTGCCAGCGACTTCGCCTGCGTGCTGTGTTAATAAAAAACAGCCTATAGCAATAGAGACAAAATCAAAGTTTACATAAAATTTGTTATTAATCGTCTCATTTTTATGGGTACATCTTCAATGGGTAAATACACTATTAGTTACTAAGTCTCCGCTATCCGTCCGTCCATAGATAGAACGTAGTACGGATCTAACTAATAGGTAAATATTACAAATATTTGAGCGAAATGTCAAATTAAAATACTTTTGGTGCAATTTTTTCGTGTGTCGCGCAACCGGTTATGAACATGAGCCCCTAGCGTAGTTCCAATCTAGTCGAGTGCCCCGTTAATTATAATAGGTAACTATTACAAATATTTCATAAAACCTATTATATTATATTTTATACCACGCTGCGTCGAGCGCGACAACCGTTACACAAAAATAATCCATAAAGCATGATTCAGTGTTCACATGCGACGGCACGATGGCTTATTATCCGAATTGCTAAGCTATCAGGAGTTACACGTGCAATTGTGAGTTAACCATAAAATATAGACATACGCTGTAAACATTTTTTTAAGATAATTTCATGTAAAATATTTTCGTCATACATAATTTCAATGTAACTCAATGTAACTTTAACCATTAAGTTTACACACGCGACGGAAACTTACAGAAGGGAGTAACTTCTCCCGTTTTCCCAACCTTTTATTATAAGTAAGCGTGGTGATTACCGCTGAAGAAAACCTCCTCAATGCGTTTCAGTGAAAGAGAGATAGAGTGTGTGTGTGTGTGTGTGTGAGAGAGAGAGAGACTTTTGCTCAGCTGTGGGCACTTAAAGGCTGTGATATAGTGACGGTGTGATATGTAAATAATATCGTGTTCAGTAATTTATTATGTAGGAAATAAATATTTATTTCTATAAAACCGTTTATATTAATGTTCTATTTTATCATCAGAACTGTTGGAAATTAATTAAGACTCATAAAAAATATCGATATCGTGAGATATCACACCCACATAGTAAGTTCAGATTTTTTTATTGATGGCGAAATTACTTGTTTGGTAATCAATTTAATCGATATTTAATTTTTTACAGTAAAATTTTTGCTTTTTATTATCGCCATCGATTAAAGGAGAGAAATGAAATTAATATTTCTGTTCATTTATGATGGACAACTGTAATACCAAAGACGAGACGTGGGTTGCTGACTTTTTATGTGTAATTAGGGATTTGAGGATAGGAGATGGGGATCACGAAAGCTTTGTTTTATGCCAGTATTGTCGAGCCAAGCCCAACCTATCCGACACTTTATCGAATATCGAACCTCTTTTAATTATACATATAAAGTATTACAACATTTTTTTTTTGTTTAAAGAAGGAACATTATACTGCTACATTATACAGCTTAGGTACTACGGATATTCAAAACATATACATATAACAATATTGTAGCCGACAGTGCTGGTCAAAGATTACCTGCGGGATACCTACTTAAATAAAATCACTAGAGTGATAATTGTGGTCTCATTAGGAAGAAGTTAACAATCAGCTGACACTGGTTTGGCACAGCTTTACACGTAGCCGTGTTTACCTAGGCTGAAAACCAAAATACTTGTCTAAATCTTTTTTTAATGAATGCGCGTGGTCATCAAAATATGTCGGAAAACAAACAAGAGTGTCAGTATTGCATCAATATTGATGTTCACGTAACTATACAATGTAATGTGTATGTGCCCTTGACTCCAACATATTACACGTACATATGTAACATACGTAATCACCGTCGAGAGGAACCATTAGCTATTAGCAGGTTAAGGAAGTTGAGCGAAATGTCAAATTAAAATACTTTTGGTGCATTTGATAACGGATTTTTTTCGTTTATCACGCAACCGCTTATGAGTTGCCCCTAGCGTAGTTCGAATCTAGTCGAGTTCCTGGTTAATTAATTTTGAGAATAAGCTGTTTAAGATTATAACTAATTTAATGTAGCTCACCCAAGTTATAATAAGGAGTTTATTTTTGTTATTTCGTTTCGTTTTCTTGATTAGTTATGTCAGCATGATGTAAAACTTCAAACTTTTTTTACTGCCGATACTTGTGAAAAAAATGTGTCTGTAAACTGCTAAAGGGGAGTATAAGAATCAAGATAGCAAGTACATAATAATATGTTGGTGCCGGGGTTTAGGGCAAATGCAAAGGTGGTTTTTAATTAGTTAGAGTCTGATCCCCCCTTTTGCCCGACTCAGGACAAAAGTCATTATTTTGATAAATTCTCCTTTCGAAAAAAAGGGTGTAAAGAATGTAACGTTTTTTCAGTATACAAAATCTTAATTACTTGAATATTATTTCACACACACAATAATTGAGATAAATTAAAATCCTTAACCTGAAATAATAACTACAGAACTAACATTGAATAAATAACGCGCAACGGTTGTAAACGTTGTGCGTTCACCGTTAACAACAATAGCCATTTAGCAGTTTTTGTGCTCGTTATTTTTAATAACCGTTATTGTTTTTGTTATCATTATAATTAGTCTGTTACTTTGTTAAGTACACCTTAAAGTGTCAGTATTTTGTTTTGTATATTAGACTATTTATAAGTGTGTGAGTGCCATGCTTCGGCACGGATGGGCCGGCTTGAGTTATACTACGGCCTCACAGAATACCGGGGTTTGATTGAGGTTACTGAATACCCAACCATTTCTCCATCATCCTTAATATCCAAATCAGTTTTTCTTAAAACCCTAAAAACCTACATAAATGCTTACCATCAGGTAATTGGTTTGTTGTTTGCCGATCTGTCCAATAAAAAACACATCATAGACAATCAATAATAGCTCCTATTTTAATAAATTATTTAAATGTTCAAATGAATCATCAATCATTATGCTTAGACATCATTAAGTCGACCATTTATATAATTATCTATTACGAGTATTAATTGATTAATTAGACATCTGTATTGTAACTTATTTTCTAATTAGTATTTAATTTCTTTTGTTCTAGTCTGAGACGCAGTAAGTTAAGTTATCTTTAATGTTTGTCGGTACACTCACGTATTTTATTGTTTGTCGAGGTAACTGGTAATTTTCAAACCACTTTAGGGGGCTTACATTCATGAACGGGAAACTGGGTTTGATTATTACTTTACTCGAAATAGGTTGTTTGATGAAAATTTAAATGATTCAGTTCATATTTCCGTGTTTTTATTATATGTTTGCATACAAGTAACATCTAAATATGCTTACTCATACATTATTCATAGATACGTACATTATATACATAATATGTATATTCAGATTTATTATCTATGTAGTTCCACGGAAATATAAATGAGTAGGTATAAAATGCATACGTATATGAGATTTTATATAGAAATTATACATAGGTACATATAAAATAGTGCTAGGTATATTATTTATTAATCCCAATATCTATGGTTACAATTAGGATATTTTTTAAAGAACATTTTTTTATCCTTGCAGTGGTTAAAATAATAATTAATATTTTAAAATAAAATAAATAATCGATGGATGACTTCAATTATCAACCTGTTTACCCTGCCTTTATTTAGTATTTTCTTATTCTGTATTATAATTTAAGAATATCGTTTTTCATTTTTCAGGTCAACGTGACAAGCCGTTCGTGTCAGACGAGGAGATGCGCTTGCGCACACCACGACCGGACATCTTGTCTGCACCGCCATACAACCCCTACTATGACATCTTTAGGGAGGCTGAGACTAAGGTATAAAACCATTCTATTTTTTAAACAATATTAACTATTTTGGACTACCTGTCGCCTGCGGCTTCGCCCTCTTGGTATGTTGATAAAAAGTAGCCTATGTCCTATTCCGGAGTGAATTCTATTACTATGCCATTTTGGCGTCATTGAGTAACAAACATCCAATCATAATAACTTTCGCATTTATAATATTAGTAAGTATATACTTAGCCGACTTAGGTAAAACATGATAAATACTGTTGAAAAAAACCAATCTAAGTGTAAAAAAATACCACGAGCTTGTACTAAAATTTTGCTATTGAATAAAAAGGTCCAGTTGATATAGGCATCCCTTAAATTTATTACCAAAAATAAATGTGTTTATTTCTAAACCAATATACGAGTATTTTACAGATCATAAATTTTACAATTATATTAGACTTTTAGACTGCAAGTCCGCATTTCAGGTCACCAGGACTAGACCCCTTATCATAAAATATATTTCGATTACTAACATGCAGTGCTGCATGGTTACTGAACAACATTAAAAGGGATCTAACTGCCGAGAAATTAATAGTTTGGGAAAGTGGCGAAAAACATGATATCATTTTTGACTTGGTAAAAGTAGATCTTAAGTACACCACAACAATGTTCATATTCTATGTGATATTATGAGTGTTACGAGTCGTAGGTAATATCCATCATGGAAGCGAAGGCGCTCGCGCGCGTCTACAGTTTGCGCACAGACGCGCGTCGCCGGGGCGAGGATCCTCTGCCGCGCCAAATTAGTGCGTGGCGGAATGAGCTCCGGCGAGATCTCATGGCTGAGTGGAAGCAGCGACTGTCGCAACCGAGGGCCGGGCACGCTACTATAGCAGCGGTAAGACCCCTCTTTGAGGAGCGGCTTGAGAGACGCCACGGCGTCCTCACCTTCCGCCTGACGCAGGTGCTTACCGGGCACGGCAGCTTTGGTAGGTTCCTGTTTCGGATCCAGCGGGAGGAAACGCCCGAGTGTCGTCATTGTGCGGATCACCTGGAGGACACGGTGGAGCATACGGTGGCGGAGTGCCCTGCTTGGGCTGAGCACCGCCGTGTTCTCAGGGAAGTGATTGGCGGCGGCGACCTCTCGCGCCCGGCCTTAATCGAGGCCATGGTGCAGCGTGAGAGGAACTGGGAAGCTATCTCCTCCTTCTGCGAAGCAGTTATGCTCGCAAAGGAGGAGGCGGAGCGCGTGAAGGAACTATCCTCCTCGCGCCCCAGCCGCCACAGAAGGCGACATTCCGGACGTCGGGGATCGAGAGATGATCTCCGGCCACCGTAAGCGCGGGTCTGCGGACGGCGAGTAAGGGTAGCTCGCCGCCCGACCAGAACCGGACCCGAGCGTACGGCGCGTAGCGTTCCGCGCGCGCCTCAAAGAGCCAATAGACCACCACAGTCGGGGCCCTAAAGGGCTGATGTTTAGCCGGGGCTGCGGGGTAAGCGCAATGAGGCACCGCGACCTCGGCCCAGAGCAGGAGAAGGAACGGGGGGGTTTTTAGTCAGTAAGAGTCTGACACTCTCTCTCGCCTTACCCTGGGCGGGAGAAGTCATTGGATGATTTTCCCCTGACAAAAAAAAAAGGTAATATCCATCAGTTCTATGTAGGTAAAGATTACTTGGACACTGTGACCTGTAAACTTATGACCTGTGCCTATTGGTACCTAAAGAACAAGTTGCATTGCATAGGAAAGTTAGCCAAACATAGGTTCATAATTATAACAAAGTATACTTCTAAGTATATAGAAAGTTTAAAAAAATGCAGTCACATAAAAAATTATGTAAGTACATTCTAGAGCAGCGTAACGCAGACCCATCACTAAATATTAGGTATTTTGAATACTAATTCGGTAGTTATTTAAAAAATAATTGTTTAGAAAAGTAATAAATTAACACTTGTTAATAATAAGGCCTTCCTTAATTATTTAAGGCCAAGCTATGATTCAATTTATCTTGGTTTATCCGTGCGTAAGTTGCGATAGCTTGCTTCCTTTGCAGACAATTAGCTTGATAAATAAAATAATACTTAATTAGTAATCTTTTTCCTATAGTTACGAAACTCAGTGATATCATGTCTTGCATCATCGTTTTTGTATATAAGTTATTATCTTTCCTTGCTCCTGGGCATCCGCCATGAAACACGTAGATAATTTCCTTATGTTTTTTTCTATTTCAGTTCCCGGTGCACCCAAGCAACAGCATCGTGGGTGTTGCTGACACCATCTCTGACATTGACAACAATGACCTCGATAGCGGCAAGCAGAACTACAGGCCACCGACCTCGTGGTCCACTGGCACCGGACGCAAGTTACGCAACAAGCCTAAGACCCCCAGCAGCTCCAACAGACAGCCTGATAGCCTCGATGAAGCTGCTTCACAAGAACCTGATGCAGAATATAGACCAACACCCAGCACTAACTTCTCGCAGACCAAATCAGTACCATCTGTCACCCCACCCTCAATAGAACTAGTCCCACCTGCAGCCCCCACAAAGGAAACTACAATCGAAGACTCTAGTGTGCAACCCACTGCAGATTCCGTCTTTAAATTCATCAAACGATTTGACCCCACATCTCCTGATGTACACCAAACTGCTATGTCAAAATCTGAGATATTAGACTTAAATAAACAACTACCAGATGGGCCAGCTACCTCAGAAGAAGACAGGACCCCCAGGAAAAATAAGAACTTCGGCAACAATTTGAATACCTTTCAAACTGAAAATGATAAGTCATTCTCAGCAAGTCCAAAATTCAACTCGGTGAATGTCAAGCCAACTGCGACTCCTGAAGAAGAGGCCCCAAAAGTTGAAAAAAACAATGGTATCCCAGAACCTGAGAGAGAACTTCAGCCTCCAAAGTTTGACCCTCCCACGCTTCCATCAACAACTGTAGGCCCACCGATCTACTATGAATGGAAATGGGCTGTCCCTGCATTTGATTTAGTACCTCCAAAAGAAGACAACAGAACTAACAGCGTAAATGTCCAGCAGACGAGGTCAATCCAACAAGGAAAGAGTCCGTTCAGCAGCGTGACGAGACCTGAGCCAAAGACAACGACTCCTGAACCAAGCAACACGGAGTACAACATCAGTTCTTACTTTGTTCCTGACTACGTGTTTCCATTAGATAAGCCGCACCCAGGATACGAGAGTGATGATGCTGAGACATCCTTCCAAGTGAAGGTGGCTAGACCAGGGAGACAGAGCTATGGGGAGAATCCCAAATGTCCCCAGTGCCACCCTGCATACCTCAAAGAAGGTACTTGCGAACCGTGTATTGTAAAGCGGTAACAAATTGAACATAGTCGTAATTTTAAGTCCGTTACAATGTCACCGAAGAACTATAGATAATATGAATCAAGTTGCTCGTTCTTGTATTGTTGTTTCGTTTGTCTGCAATATGAAGGAAGTCTTTGTAATATTATATTTCTTCATACAGTTTTAAGTAAGTTATTAACGCTGTTATATTTTAGTTTTAAAAGCCATATTGTATAGTAATTCCGATGCCTTGTTGTACGATGGTGTTATTGTTACAAAGAATTGTCTATTCAGTGTTTTTGTACCATTTCTATATACCTACCTATAAGAGAATCCTAAATACCATAGTAAAATGATAGTAAATGTCTGCGTACTGATACGTAACTAAATTAGAAACCCACCAAAATGGGAACCTCTTAGGCGCCTCTAAAAATGTTTTAGCACGCGCGCCTTCCACGCCCTCCTTGGCGCCTTAGGCAATAGCTTAGTTCGTCTTAAGGAATATATTCTGGCTAATGGCTCTGCTCATGTGAATTAAATTTAATCTCAATTTTGCAACCATTATCTAAATGTTTATTGATACCTAATTAACACATAGATTATAAACACATTTGAAAATCCCAGATCTGTAAATTCCAAAATATCACCTGTCATTTGACTAGCACAGTAAATAAGAAGAGGCATATAGCTACATACCTACATAAGTACTTTCAATAATAATTATTGTAATCGTGTGAGTCTCAATGTTAAAGCCTAATTGAGACAATGATAGAGTTATACCTAACAATATTCACTTACGTACCTACATATTTACTTACTTCTGACGAATGTTACCGTACCTACCTACCTGCTGAATTTGTATAAAACTAGTACATACCATGTATAATAAATAACAAGTAAATTAAGTTTAATTTTTTTAGTCTAGTTAATATTTATACTTTTATACATGTGCCTATAGGTACATACATACCTAAATTAAGTTAGTTTTGTATTAATAAAAATAAAATTAATTTAAATCAGAATTTGTAGTTTTGTTTCGCATTTTTCTTACAGTCAAAGTAAAATTATTTATTTGAATATCAAGGCAGCAATCAAGGAAAACCTCGGAAAATAAAAGAATAGATAAATAAATTGCGTTTGTAGTTGCGTAAAAGTGCGCGTCTTTCAAAATTTATATTGCCTTGTCTTACTAAGAAATCGGAAACCTCCCACATTTTTGGATATCGTTTTATAAATTAATGCCACCGATGGTACGTCCAAACCGGTGGCCAACTGCGGGACAGCGCCTAACACTAAGTTCTTTTGCCTAGACTCGGTCTCGACTCTAAAATAAGACTACCCCCAATGGTGGGTTCTTCGAAAAAGTGTGACCGGGCTGGTCAACTGCTGTTGATGTTGATGTTGATAATTCTAGATCTCTAACAGATCACCTCGATTTGATCCTATAGGTAAATAAGTATTTTATCCTACGATTCGAAGTAGGTATGTAACAGAAAAAAGGACCGTCTAACTTGAGAGGTTTTCTTAAATTTAAAATATTCTATGATCATGGAAACAACCGTATTACTACATTGATCAAAATAATAATTAAATACTTAAGTATTTTGTAAGAATTGTAACTTTTCTGTAGGTACGTCACGTAAAACACACACATTTTTTACGTAGCGACATCTATGCTGACGTACAAAAAAATAAATGTAAAGTTTCACATTAAACATTGTAGATGGCAGTAATATTATTTGAAAACGTAGAGTTTTGTTCTAAATACGAAAATCTACTTATCTTACAAAAAGATAATCTAAAAAATCGAATTACTTAATAAAATACCAATTATTTTTAAGACTTTCAAATTTGTACTTAGACTAACCTGTGTGTAATGGAACGTAGATGTCATGAAATCGCTCAAAAAATCAAAATGGCCACTATTGTGTCAGAAGTGCGAGTCGCTAGATGTGCGTGTGCAAAATTTTTTACTTATAATAATTTTTAATGTTTAATTTACTTATTAAGTGTCGATAACAAATATTAGTATTTAGTTAAATACCAGTTACGATTATACTTTTAGTGTACTTAAAAATAAGTGGTGTTGACTCAGTGACGTTTAGTGTAAAATTGTGATTTTCACCATGAGTAAATCAAATCCGTTGGCTGGTTTGATAGCTAATTACGGGGATTCTGATGAAGAATCTGATGATGGAATGCAGGCGCCTCCCTTACCACCGGAGCCCGATATAAGGAAATCTTACAATGCACCTTTGGCAGGACACACGTATCCAAACACAGCTGTGAATGCTTCGGGTGCTGTGCACCCGGCCCCTATACCTCATTGCCGTAAGTATTCTTTTTATATCACATTACTTATCTGACTAAACACTGTTATTCGAATTTCAATCTATAATGTTGAAAGTTTTTCCATGTTAAAATTAAATACCACATGCCAAACAACTGTGTTTATAGAAGCGGGCTGTAAATAACAGTTAAAGTCTATCCATTGTTTAAAAGCATTGTATTGAGTTCTGAGAATTGTTCAGGGGTTTTTTATGATCAAGTGAATGGTCTTTTTTTGGTTTTCCTTGTTTTGTTTCACTTTGTATGGGGCAAATGATTCATGGAACATTTAATTAATATTTTTGTTCATTGATATTTCTGTGACCAACTTACTAGGATTTTTTTGTCTTAATATTTAGTTCCTAGATATTATAGACATCAATAAAAGCAATGAGTAATCAAATTCTTAATTTAAAATATAAGTTAACTTTATAACTTTCTTTTATAAACAAAAAAGGTTGAATAAGCAGACAATATTTCTTTATAAAATATAAAGTATTCTTATTTAGTCACAACAGTATAACATTGACCATGAAATTTGGTTGATCAATATTGGGACATTGTCAAGGAGAAAATGGCAGTTGTTGCAATCAAGTTTCTTTATCAGACTTAAATACTTTGAGAGTTTCACCATGAATTGTTTCTAAATTAAGTGCTCTTAACTCTGAAGTACATCACATTAGTATCATCATTGTAGATAGATATGTTACATTCAAACAGTTTAAGCTATTCAATTAGCGGCTTAGTCAGTTTACATAGTACAAAATTGTATGTGATACACTGGCTAACAACTGACTGACTTATAACCTTATGGTAAGCAACTAGCACTGCCGATGGACATCCACAACAACAGAAGAGTTGTATGTGTGTTGTTGGCATTGTGAGAATATAGTGATTTAAGGATTGAGGAGGGATTATGGTATGTTTCTGATAGTGATTCAATTTCTGTGTGGTTTACAGAATTACCTAGTTTTTCCTATCATTCTAGTAACATCATGAACTTGCAATGTTTAGATCATCTCAAAATTCTGTTATTTAGCCAAATTGCTAGTCATTCAGACCCCTAATTAAGTGGTTAAATTAAACTAAGTAGTTGGCTACAACAGATATCTAATTAGATTACTATATAGGCAATATTATTAATTATGCATACTATGACAATCATATTAAGAACTTACCTAATTATATCTAATTACAGTTTATAGGTAGTTAATAACACTTTGATGATAGTTATTCTCTATTCTTATCATTTTCTAAATCTTGTCATTTTGTGTACTAATGTTGACACAATTACACGGCCAAAAAGCTTACAATTTGTTGTGTACATTGTCAATATGTCATTTAATTTTATGGATCAATCTTTTGCAGCATGGTCGGCATGCTATGATGAGTCAAGTGGCTTCACATACTACTGGAACCAGCAAACGAACGCAGTGACGTGGGAAGCACCTCCGGAGTACCTGCTGGCTTTGAAGCTGGCACAACAGCAACTGCATGTTGCAGGTATTGTATTATTTACCACCACACCTTATGTTTTAGCGGTTTCAATGCCAATACATAATTTTTGCACGATTTAAACAACCAAGAAAACCTACCACTTCAATCATATTCTGTAAAACATATTAGAAGATTTAGGGAGAAAGGGCAGAATAAGCAACTTTCTTTTATACTATGTAGTCAAAACTTAACAAAGACTTGAAAAAATTGTATAGTTAAAATTAAACAAATGATTAAAAAATATTCAAAGGTGATATTCATTTAATATATTATAAGTCAAAGAGTGCCAGTGGAGTTCTATTATTTTCCTGTTTACACCAGCTTCTGACCCTGATTTTATATTTGCATTTAATTGTATAATTTGAGATGCATCTTCTCTTTTATTGACTTTGGTTTTATTGCACACTAAAGCAAGATTGTCCTTTTATTAATGGTAATTGCAGCTGTGTTATCTTATAGAGAGAACACAAATAGGGCTTACAAAATATCCCAGAAATCTGATAGATATACTTCTCCACTTTGGAGAAAGCAAATAGCTCACTAGAGGAAGGACAGCGTGACACACATAAAGTGGTTTCGTTTGTTTGGCTGATATTGAAATGTGTTTTTTGTGGTCTATTTGAAATAAATGATTTGACTTTGACTTCTTTCATTTAGGTACAACAGAAGTATCTGCAGAAGAGTGGCAGCTCTATCAACAGGCCTTAGCCGAGAAACAAAATATGCAGAACAATAAGACAGTTGCAAAGTCTTCCATCACCAAGCCGCAAAAGAAAGCTGAGAAGAACATTGTTGGCAACAGAGACACTAGTAATAAGAATAGGAAAAGGAACCACAGTGATGATGAAGAGGAGTAAGTAAAGTTTTGAAATGTAGTATATTTAAGTTAAGAATATATACTTTGTTTGGGTTGACCCTTGGCTATGTAGATGTCCAGACTTGTAATTGGTCATATTAAATCATCTAAAAATACAACAGCGATTTAAACATGAGTAACATAACAAATAAACAACAAACAAGGTAAAAACTCTCAAGAAATTACGCGCTTTCTTTAGTTAAGCGAAAATCATCATATTACTTATCAGTGTCAGGCTCTTACTGACTAAAAACCCCCTGTAGTCCGAGGCCGCGGTGCCTTATTGCGTTTACGCAACCTAGCTGAACATCAGCCCTATAGGGTAGAAATTACATGCTAATAAATTTTATTTCATTTTTTTTACAGAAAAATAGAACTTATAACATCATACCACAATTCGGACTCCGAATCCAATGATGAGGGAGATACTCCAACTAAACCTGTAGTTCCTAAAAATAAAACGAATGTCCACAAAAAAGCTAAAGTAAAGCCCATCGAATATGGACCTGCCTTACCTCCTGCAAACTACACAGTGCCAATTGGACCTGAACTGCCTCCGGAATTGATGCAAAATGGAACCAAATCTCCTGGCGATAAGATTGATAATGTAGTGACAAAATCGGTATGATGTACAACATTTATATCTTATAAAATTTGTATATATAGTTTACAATATAATAGAGTCATATGAAGAACACGAAACAGTACACAGTTTACAACAGTTAAATTTTCAAAGTTCTAAATTTCGATTTGTATCATTCAGATCATGCTATCTGTTGTGCCTATGATGAGAAATGCACCTGAAAATTGCTTAAAAATAGTGTTTCAAAACATTGAGAAATATTTACGTTAACTTTTAACTACATTCTAATAGTCATTCTTATTTTGTAAGAACCATTTGCAATAATCTATTATGATAACTTATCATAGAAGATGATTACACATGGTTACTGTTGGTCTGATTCATGTGCTTCTGGTATGTTTTGTAGTAATAAACAAAATATATCACTAGTTTGTGTCAGATTATATGATTTCTCAATTATTTTGAACATTATCAAGCATTGTGATGGGTTAAAGTTTTCAATCTGAGGTACTGCTTACTTATTCAATGGTTAAAATATATTTGTGTGGAATATAGGCAATAATACTAATTGAATTTTTCATTTTTGCTCTAAAGGATAAGAAAACTGATGATGATAGTCAAGATGAAAGCACACTATTCTTAAAACTCAAGAGTCAAGCCAAAATATTAGAGAAATTGGGTGGCGAATTACCAAAAGACTTGAAAAAAATTATAAACGATGATCCTAGATCTGGTAGCAACACACCAAAAAGAGATGAAATCAGTACTAAACCTAGTGCTAACATTGATGATTTGCTAGAAGAAATTGAGAAAAAGGAATTGCCTAAGGTCTCTAAATTAAAGAATAATGATGAAGGTAAATTAAATGGAACAATAAGTGCTAAGAACTCCCCAAAAAGAGAAGTGACACCTCCAGTCGTTGAAGTAAAGCCTCTGTTCCCTAGTGCTAGCGCCAGACATTTAGACGAGGCTCCTGCAACACCACCATCACTTCCCCCAACTCCTCCACTTAATGAAATAGAAAATGAAGACGTAAGAATAGAAGCAACGGAAAAGAAAGGTGTCAATTTATACCTCATGGACATAGAAGAGAGGAGAGAAAATGTTGGCAAGAAAAAGCTAAGAATATCGAATTCCGTGCTACCAGACCGCAAGAAAACCGAGGAGCCGGCTTACACAACGAAGTATTCACAAGTCATTGAAGGTTTCTCTGGAGAAAGAACTGGACTAGGTTTCAGTAAAGAAGATGAAGATCATGGAAGTCCAAAGAACACCATTAACTATGGCAACGGTTTAATGTTTACCAAAGGAGAAACATTAAATGAAGATAAGAAAGATGAGGATCTAGATGATCTGACTGATTTAGTGGAAGCTAAGCTCAAGTACTTAAATCAAGTGCAGCCGTGTGTGCTGACACCGGTGCAGGAGATGTTGATACAGATGCAGGTATGTAGAATTCACTTGTTTTATTCGGTCACAAGCATGAGAGACATCTTTATTTTAAGTTATCTAAATTTATTAAAACATCACTGACAAACAATGAAGCGAAACATAGAGAGGAAACAGACTTATAACTTCTTATGTTTAAGTTACAAGGTGTGCCTGAAATACACCCCTGGGGAACTCCATAGGCTTTGAGACATGTCCTCAAATATGTCCCTGTGGAACTTCATAAGCTATAAGACTTGTTCTAAAATACGTCCCTGTGGAACTCCATAAGCTATAAGACTTGTTCTAAAATACGTCCCTGTGGAAGTCCATAAGCTACTCGTATAAGACATGTCCTAAAATACGTCCCTGTGGAACTCCATAAGCTATAAGACTTGTCCTAAAATACTCCCCCGAGGAACTCCATAAGCTATAAGCCTTGTCATAAAATACTTCCCCGAGGACTCCATACGCTATAAGATATGTTCCAAAATACTTCCCTGGGGAATACCATAAGCTATAAGACTTGTCCTAAAATACTCCCCCGAGGAACTCCATAAGCTATAAGCCTTGTCATAAAATACTTCCCTGAGGACTCCATAAGCTATAAGCCTTGTCCTAAAATACTTCCCCGAGGACTCCGTAAGCTATAAGATATGTTCCAAAATACTTCCCTGAGGAACTCCATAAGCTATAAGCCTTGTCCTAAAATACTTCCCCGAGGACTCCATAAGCTATAAGATATGTTCCAAAATACTTCCCTGAGGAACTCCATAAGCTATAAGCCTTGTCCTAAAATACTTTCCCGAGGACTCCATAAGCTATAAGATATGTTCCAAAATACTTCCCTGAGGAACTCCATAAGCTATAAGCCTTGTCCTAAAATACTTCCCCGAGGACTCCATAAGCTATAAGATATGTTCCAAAATACTTCCCTGAGGAACTCCATAAGCTATAAGCCTTGTCCTAAAATACTTCCCCGAGGACTCCATAAGCTATAAGATATGTTCCAAAATACTTCCCTGAGGAACTCCATAAGCCATAAGCCTTGTCCTAAAATACTTCCCTGTGGAACTCCATAAGTTATAAGCCTTGTCCTGAAATACTTCCCTGAGGACCTCCATAAGCTATAATACTTGTCCTATAATACGTCCCTGTAAAACTTATAAGTTATTAGGCATACCCTAAAGTATTGTCATAAAATTCATAAGCATACCTTAGTTATAAGACTTGTACTAAAATACGTCCCTGAGGAACTCCAACGGCCTTATTAAGTCTCGATCAATAACCATTGATTCAATTTTTGCATTTCAAATTGAAGTTAGGTTAGTGTGATGTAATATACAAAATCTGACTCAATGGTTTAAACCAGAGGTTCCCAAACTTTTTTTTTCTCATAGACCACTTTAAACATTTTGCTGGATCTGGTGGTTTTAGTATTTAAATGTAGAATCTGCAGGGGGTCCACCAGATCCAGCAAAATGTTTAAAGTGGTCTATGAGAAAAAAAAGTTTGGGAACCTCTGGTTTAAACTAAACAGATTAAAAATATAAATTTTTCTTTTGTTTTGTAATCAGGGGCAAGATTTATTTTCCTTGTTCTAAAATACGTCCCTGATGTATTTCACAAGTTTTAAAGTGTTTGTATGTGACTGTTGCAGACGCTGGTATCAGCATTCCGCGCGGGCGCGCTGTCCGTGGGGTACTGGCGGCGCTGGGCCGAGGGCGCGGCCGCTGGGCTGGCGGCGCACGAGGCGCGCGCGGCGCCGCCCGGCTGGACCACCACCTTCCAGAGGTACTACACAGCCCACACAGCCCACACTCCACGCGGCCCCCGCGCCCCATGCCACGCATCTCTCGAACCTTATATGAACAGGGATTTAGATCACTTACCTTGTGTCTGCGTAAATTAGCGTTTAAGCCCATCCCAAACTAAATCATTAGTTTACTAGGGTTAAAAATGCTCGGGGGCTCCGGAGCAGGTCTCTTGTAGAGGACCCGGTGCCCCTAACAGGTGATGAAGGTGGCCACCGGGGTGGTTTTAGTGAGATAAAAATCCCACACTCCCTAGTCTTTCTCCCCAAAAAGCTAGGCGCCTTTTGAAGGTTTCCCCCCGTAATAAAAAAAAGGGTTAAAAATGCTCATAGGAAATAATGCCTATGCTAGGTTCGAACAGAAATAATATCGACCGTACGTGGAAGATACAATCAATTATTTGTTGAATGACGCAACTAAAACTAAATACTTACTTACAACATAAGTTGCAAAACATTGGAAAATCTAATTATTTTTCTAATGGATTTGATAAAAATGGTAAAATAATACAACAAAACAAAGTTCTTTTTAAATCTTGTATTTAGCATAAATAGTTCCTTGAATAGAAATTCGATTGCATTTCAACTATTACTTATTTTTTTCATTTCGGTACTATTTCGTTATTTAGTTTTGCCAAAAGAAATGTTAATTGTTTACGCTTACATAAAGTGTTTTGCAGACAGTTGAGGTTTGAGCCTTAATAAATAAAAAAATCAATAATAATAAAATCCTTGTTCATATAAGGTATTATGCGCTATCAAAAGTGATGTCTGATTTTGGACTATTGAGACTTATAGTGCGGAGTCATTGGACATAATGAACTTTATGGACATCGTTTTGCGGTTGCTTTTTATAAAACGTGTGTGTGTGACTTAGCCCTTAATTTAAATTTAGATTTTCTCGGACCGAAATTAAGGGCTAAACACAGTGAAATGATTCACGACCAGGAACCTATTTTATGGTTCCAAATTGTGTCGAATATTTCTTGACAAACAGTGTCTTGTTATGTTTTGAATCGGTTATAATTACGATGTATGCTGATATTACGTTGTGTAACATTGAGGTACCAAGAATACGGCGTAGGTCTTTTCAATAAAGTCGCTATTCCATTGTCATTTTCTACTACTCACGTAAAGGTCAGCAATACAATCTAAGCCTTATAATAAATTGTTGATTCATATTTCGTCGCTTTATGACAGTGGAATGGCAATCTTAGTCCGAATACGAACAAACTAGGCTGTCTTTAGCTTCGTTGAATAGTATTTATTAGGTACTATTTGTTCCACGTGATAGACGAACCTATCATAATGAAATTGGTGCCGTGAATAACAGTAGCATCACTCTTAGTACCTTAAATTTTATTTGCAGAAAAGTACAACTTCTCTACGTATTTTTGTAAATGTTAGAAACGAGTCTATCTATCTAAATGACGCTGATTTGTTGTGATCAAAAGTAACGCGTAAAATCCTATGTGATATGTAATTCATCTGTGATACACGTCTGTGATAACTAAGTAAGAATAAAATGTTGTTATTAAAAATTCGAGTTTGTTTAATAATTTGCTATCCCAAATATTGTAATGAAAGAGAACATCTAGCTATAAGTGTGAGGAAGCCTGAAGCCCGCCGGCGGCCGCTCGAAGCCAGTCTCCGGGACGCCCAAGGAGTTGGTGAGATGTCAAAACTCTTTGCTGATATTTTTTTATTTATTCAAGTATAATATACTTTGGTCTTTTCCAGAATGCCGATGACGAGACCGTCGTGTAAAGGATTTTCAAGATCCCTTGTGTCCGCCATTTTGGAATGTTATTTTTTCTATTTTTTTCTTAACGGCGGGCACAAATCCGGAGCACGGGTTAAAGTATACGGTTTTATTTGTCATTAGATAAGTTTGCCCCATATTTTTAGGTGGTGTCGTGGTGGTCTTAAGTTTCATTTACCAAGAATTCATTTAATGACATTCGCGTTTTATCTATTCCGATACTACATTAAGAAATATTTCTTGTCTACTCTTAACACTTTCTTCCATATGGAAATTTTTCGCTATTAAATATCACTTCTACGTCTTAACTAAATGACGAATCTTAAGCTTCTTTCAGTACAACTGATATTGTACAAAAACATTGTTTTTTACTACTACAGGCAATTCAACTCTATCCTTAAAAACAATTGTTTATATGAACTTAAGTCCACTCTCCCACCTGAACGTACCGGGTTCTACCCTCCCCCCATTATCCATATTTGAACTATTACGTTTGTGTACTGCAGGTCGGAGGGCCGCTACAGCTACAGACGCGAGGCGGACGGGCTCGTACAATGGGAGTACCCGGCCACCACACACACAGACATGGACATATGCACCACGCCACCACACCCTGGAAGTGACGCTAAGGTATGTTGATAGGTTTTAATAATGGTCATACTACAACTAAATATTGTTTGATAACTAAGAAATTTCCGTTCGTTTAGTACTTGTTACTGGAAATAATTATAACAGCTTGCATTTTTTGTCATTTTTTCGTGGTGTCCTGTGACTGGGCTTTTCCCAGTTATACAATGCCTTTAAGGCACAGGAGGAGTAATTTTTGGGACGAGTATTTCGGTGTTTTCGTGGCTGGATCTACTGTAGATTCTAGCTTACAGGAGTTGTAGCGGTGTTGGATGATTGTAGCGGTTCTGTCCCAAAAAAGAACGCTAAAAAATATAGACTACTCGATTGGTAGGCGGGATTACAGTTGCCTGGCTTCTGTTAAATATGGTAGTTCCTTAGTCAGCTAAGTACATATGTAATCAGGGTATTTAGAAGTTGGCTAGTCACCCGATGGTAAATTATCGATTATAATTATAATTATGCCTTATTTTGCAGTGCAGGGTCCATAATTGATCTCACACAAATTTTTACCACCTTTAAATGTACTTATGGAAAAGCAATAAAGATGTTGAGAATTGAAGTGTTGATCGACGCTGCCCATGGGCACTCCCTTTGGCATTTGAATGTATGGGTTTAGGAAATCAGGGATAGGGGAAGGATTGTACAATTGGCAACCTCACTTAAGCGTTGTTTCACGTCAGTTTTCTGCCACACTTATTAAATGAAGTCTTATTAATAATTCCATTAGGAGGAAATACCACCACCGCTACCACCGACTCCGCCACCGATGTCAGTCCCCTCACCGCCTTCATTGCCGGCCACGTCATGGCACATGCGGACGGCTACACCGCCCCCTCCGGTACTCAGTGGCGCTGCACCAGCTTGGAGTCGCGCCAGAACCCCGCCGCCGCCATCTTGGATGGACCCGCCGCCGCCAGGCTGTGATGATATTCCCCCCATACCAGTTAATGTGCGTTCTGTGCGTCATTATTTGTGTTCTTTAAGGTGCACGCTTTAAGATGTAGCCCGCAAACATTCATTATGTATGTTGTATCATCACACTAACATACATCTATTGCAAAAATGATAAAAAATCTACTCCACGATGAGATTTGAGATGGTCTTACATTGTTGTACTAAGTAAATGAAAATGTAATATATTTTTATAAATTTATGTTTGTTATGTTTTCACGCAAATACCACTAAATTGATATAGATAGAAATTGGTGCAAATATAGCTTATAGTAGGAATAAAACAGCTTACTTTTTACCCCGGCAATGCAAACCAAAGCTAATGTCTCTCTAAAGAAATGTCTCTAGAATATAACCGTTAAGTCTGAACCTAATAATTTATTGTGTTCACACAACGATAAACAATACTATGTGATATAATATTTTATCATACAAATACTGTTTTAATTTTGAAGCCCTGGTCTTACAAAGGAACAAACTACTACTAGAAATCTACCATTAGCACTATTTTAATCTCTTTCCGAGACCATACACTATATTTCTCAACACCGCCATACATTATTTATTTGTTACAGTCAGAACCAAAACAAGAAATCGGTGACGAGTTAGCCTCATTCTACAGCGACATAGCCGAGCTAGAGAAACAGACATCAGCGCCCCACACAGCCTCCAACTCACCAGAACCTGTGGACACCAAAGAAAAACATAGAGAAAAGGACAAGGAGACCCAAAGAGAAAGAGACAGAGAAAGGGAGAATAGTAAGGAAAAGGAATCGAAAGTTAGCAAGAAAAAATCTAAGGTAAGTGTGATTCCTTGTTAGAGGTGATAATATTTGATGATCATTACTTGTTGATGGATTATCCTTTCTATAAAAATAAAGAATAAAAATCTTCATTAGAATTTTTTTCAATTTCAATTCATTAGAATTTGCCTTAACTACAATTCAATGCAGACTCAAGATTTTAATAACAACAGAGAGATCCGCCCCCGCTTTGCACGTTTGCAATGCTGGTACTATATTACTACATTATTAAATGGATGTTAATATACATAATATAAACTTTCCTCTTCAATCACTATCTAATTAAATAAACCCGCATCAAAATCCGTTGCTTAGCTTAAGATTTAAGCACACATAAGGATTAGAGGGACAGAAAAAGCGGCTTTGTTTTATACTATATAGTGAAAGATTTACTGTTCCAAAAATAAACGAGTTACATTTTTATAAATTACAAAACGTTAATAATTCTTTTATTTCTTTGTTTCAGGTAAAGATATCAGCATCAGTGGGATTAAAACATAAATCTGTATCGAACTTAGTAGCGAAATGGCAACAGGTTGCAGATGAGATCCACTCAGACTAATTTAATAATAATAATAAAAGGGAATTGTAAATATAGCTAGTAGAAAGCGGTTTTTACCCATAAAACACTACCATTCACCGAATAAAAGACGTTAGCAATGTCAGAAGTTAGCCTGAGAAATGCTGTGAAACTAACCAATATTGTATTTATAATTATGTTTAAAATAAAGCAAATTATATTTAAGTTTTTACCTAAGATTCAAGTGGCCGGAGCGGATTACAAATGTACTTTTTACTTTGTAATATTGGTGCATATAAACGCTATGAACTATACATAAATGCATTACACAAGGCTACATAAAAATGGCTTCCTTAACAAATAACAAAATATATAAGACACTTAGGTTTAATTATACAAAATCTGCGAAAATGAATATTGGAACTGAATATTTTGACTTTTTAACTCACCTCGATGTCATTTTATATTTGCTAGCTAATTTTGTTTATAATGAAATGCTTAGAAATTAAGTATTTTGCATACT